CCTGCTGAAGGGCACATGGCACAGGAGGAGCAGACTGGAGGGTCTCCAGAATTCCCTTTTAAGCAGACAGGGCTGGTTTCCCTTCCCTTCAGGTTATTTTGGCTACTTTCCAACCACCAAAACCTGAAGTGCAACTGTTCATCTGGCATTTGTTTACAGGTTATCCCAGCCTCCTGTCCCTGTGTGGGAGGCTTCCCACATGCAGACATGCTTGTTTAAGATTACAAATGAATCCATTTCTCTCTACTTAGATACTTGGCCCTAACGTGCTGTTTAACAATTTAAGAATGAATTATACTTCTTCCTGAATCCATCACAACGTGCAAGCCAGGCCGCCCTGAAATAGAAAGCTCTACATCACTGAAATTAACTTCTCTCCCTGTTTTGGTGCAGATGAGTAATCCTTTTAAATAGCAAAATGTGCCGTTACCAAAATGGGCAGCACTTACACTAGTTTTCATTTTCTTTCAGTGTTTTCACACTTGGATCACTGAAGTTGGTTGGGAGGATAATAAACTGATTTACTAAATTGTACTATGAACACCAGTCTCAATAATAGCAAACTCATTAAGCTGATCAGAGCTTTCCAAGCTAAATCTTCTTACAAACAAAGAAGCAAAGGCCTGGGAAGGGAGAAAATTAGTATCTGTTGCTTCATTGATTACAGTTCCGTGGTAGACTCAAAGACGACGGGTCCCACTTTCCACTGCCTGTTCTGCATCAATATTGGGTCTCAGCACATCTTTACAAACAAAAACTGCGGGGAAGAAAAGGGTTTCTGTGCACGGGACGATAGCTGAAAGTGTACCACCCCACTCGCTAATACAGCAGACACCACTCACTGTTTTAAAATAATTAGGTTTCTGGAATCGTATTGACTTTGTTCTCTTTCCAAATGTTTTAAAACCAAGCTTCCATTTTTTTGTACAATAAAGTGCACAAATGTGGAAGCATAGGGTCTAAGAAGTAAGTCAGACTGCAAGTTGCTGGGGCAAAGACCACTTGTGCAAGCCTGTGCTGTGTGCTTTGATAAACTCAAGTGCATAAACTTCTGCTGTCTTGGCTGTATCATATATTACTTCCTGACTTTGCAAAGGGAACTGTCCCATAGCTTCCTTGACCCTACAGCAGACATCCAAACCCCGCTCAGTTATGACTTCATGACATACTAGTACTGAACGCAGCGACAAAGATGTAATCTTAAATGAGAAAATTCACATTTACTGGCACTAGCATATAAATATACCCAGACCCTAGGGAAAGTTTAGTAGGCTGCATTTCCAAGCAGGGAAATACACAGGGAATAATCATCTTAGCTACAGCATAGGCTCTTAATCTCTCAGGAAAAACTTTCATTTCTAGAGGAAGCCTATTCTAACTGTTTCTTCCTGAGGGAATCCAGAAAAATCCATTTACTCATCCTTCCTTCATGCTGTAAGGTTTAAGCACCTTCTGTTTGTTAGGAGCAGTGAAGCCAACCTGTGGTGTAGGCATCAGTTCTTAAGTCCTGCATACTGACTCCGGGGTCAACCCACAATATCAGTTTTTCCTCCTGTGCTATAACCCATCTTTCCCAGGGGAAACAGTCCTTCTCATCAATTTACTCTTCTCTCTCCCCATTTCATTAAATATGTATCAAGATTAAAGCACCCATTTAGGTTTTTTCCTCTTCTGTGGACCATATTTGATTGAAAGAGGTGATTTTGTGACTCTCAGTCATTTCCTTGTTGATTGCTTTTAACAAAGAGACTGCTTTGCTGACATACAAACAAGAGCGCTGCATTTTTTGGCCTATGTAGCCGTTGTGGGCACTGAAACAGGATTGAACTCCTTGCAGAACACTTAATATTCAGCTCAAGTTTGATGTAGCCATAGTGACTAACAAGAGCAGCATTACTGTCCCAAATACTGCCGTCAACATGGGGAATCTGTGCCCTCAAGTTAAGGACAAATAAGTGGTTTTGATTACCCAGTTGTTTAATCAAGGGAATGTCTGTACTCCTGCTCAATGCTAACACTCTTCTGCTACATTGGAAAACACTGTATAGGCAGACAAAAACACTGAAAAACATTAAGACAAGTCATCATACCAACGGCGTCACCACTTCCAGCAGTCCGAGGCCAATATATGCACATACACACACTGGTTC